TATATTTGCATACACACACACACATATATAAATATATATATATTGCTTTGCACTCTTACTGGATCATATTGCATTCTATTCTAATTTTATTTTGAACCCTAACAACCCAGTTACAAGTACCTGCCAGTCAGGAAGACTGACCCTCACCGGGAGTCAGCCTACTTTTACTATCCTACAACTAAACACGGTATTTAAATAACAGCTTTAAAAGTAGTTGATTTCAACAAAAACTTGAGCAATTAAACATTTATCCACAAACACCAATGTCAAGGCAATCAGCTTTTAATTAAAGTTCTATTGCTACCAACTGAGGGGACATGCAAACCAGTGTCCTACAGCTGGCCCAACTCTACACCAGGATCCACACAAGCAGAGGGAATTATCCATAATGAAGAACAGGACAATAGCCTAAGTAAGCTTTTTTGTTTCATTAGACCCAACTGTTCTATCTAAAGTAATTATGTTTACAAAAGCAAAGATCCCTAACAATGAATACAATTCTTCTTCCCCATCACTATCAACACAAAACGTGTTAAAGAGGTAATAGCGCTGATGGTGGAGAGGGGCATGGGGAAGGAAGGAACAGCCTAGAATTCACAAGAAACAATGTTTAAAAGTATTTGCTTTGCTTTTTACATCTTAGTTCTGGAAAAATAAGGTAGTAGTGGGAACGATGACACGAGGTAAGTACTAATTTTTTTGTTTCACAGTATCATGTATATGCCTTAATCATTTTGGAGCTCATATTTAAATAAATAAAACCCATTCCCTTTTAACCACACAAAAACACCAACTAAAGTGACATTATACCTTTCATTCACCATCCTAATGAAATGGAGAACTAAAAAAGCACTAGTTCTTTATTGATATTATAATCAGGTTAGAAAGAACAGAAAACTGCCATGAGTTCCCATACTGCCGTGAAGCAGTTCTCCAAAGAGAACGTCCAAGACTTACTGCATTACCCACGGAAGATACAGTCTGTGTCGGGGAGGAGGAAGTGACACAAACAGCTCAAACAAACACCATACACAAACCATTCATAAGTGTCTCAGCAAATTAAACATTACCCTGAACATTTCTTAATCTAAGCACCATAAAACTAAACCATTCCTATCCAAGTTTTAATATTTTACTTATCTCTACAGTATCTAAGCAAGCTTGTCTGGCCTTACAGCATTTGGAAATACAGGAACTATCAAGTACAGCAGCTCATCTATCATATGCTCATAGTGTTGAGCGCATTCATCCTCAGGTATTTTGCCAAATAAGCACCTGATCTGTATAGGCTCAGATTAGACTGTGTGCATGCTCTCAATGCAGAGAGTTTACATTTATCAACCTGCAATCAAATACCGAAACATTAGTAAGAAGCTGATTAAACGATATGTCAACAGTTTCTCTACAGGAAACACCTTGACCAGTCTAGAGGAACAAACTGTTCTCAAGAACAGTTGGAGTACTGTTATTTTCTCAACTCCAGTGTGACTCCTTTTGCCTACTGTGGCACTATTACAGCTTTCACTTTGTTACATGTCTCCGATTTTGACGCAGAAGCAGGGCAAAATCACTCATTAAGAAAATAACTTGGGTCCTTTCCACCACGGAAGTGTCACTCCAGGTACACTGACATCATATCAAACAAGCAACTCCCTTAGATGTGATAAAAGGCAAACAAGGGACACCAATTAAGCAAAACGCTATACCAAAGGTTGGTACTAATCCAGAATTCCTCAGTTTTCATAGCATTTCAAGCAGAATAACCTACTGAACCTCAGAGTCCCTTAGGGAGCATAATTCAGAAGAAGAAAGAGCGTTTCTGAACACTGCTCTCTAAACGAGATAAAAGAGGCTGCACCTGCGCTCCCCCAGCCCTGCCCTGCCCCACCTCACAGAGGGCACCCCACAGACACCCCCAGGAGGACACCCCTTCGCCCCATCTCCCCACACCCAGGCACCCACAGCCTCCCCCACCCCACTGCCTTCCCTAGGGCTGAGCAGCCCCCCACCACCCTGTGCCCCCCACCTTTGACAGCACCCCCAAGCCCCAGCAGCCCC